CTTTGAAGCATGATAATCTGGCGTATTGGACTTTAATTATAGTCCAAATACTCGTCCAAGAGACAATAGTGAATGACTTGCCAACCACTCAAGTATTTGATCAATGAATGGAAAGAAAAAAGAGATATGTTCTAATGACATTGTTGATCTTTTGGTAGTCAATGCATACGCTCCACCCGATCATTGTTCTTGTCAAAACAAGTTCATATCTAGAATTGTGGAGGAAGAAAGATCGTTTGCATAACATTCTCAATTTAAGTTCGATGCACTCCAGGATTGTTGGCATTATTTTTTTCAAATCAGAATAGTGAGATTTTCGAAAATATTTGAAAAGATAAACTGCACCGCAGTGAATAGGTTAAGTTTAATATGTGCACAATATTGAAAATTGGATATCCAATTCAAGGATTCAAAATTTAATAGTAAATATGTTTTACTATTGACAATGTAGTTATTTCGTGAAAATTCTCATACAACTTGAGAATTGAAAGAAATTAGAGAACTCAATAAAGTTAGAAAGAAGCATAATGACTTCAAAAATTGTCAAATGATTTTCTAATTAGTTACAAATTGTACTTGTTATATGATTTAATCGAGATAACTAGCTACAAATGGAATGGCACAGAATATCGTGTGTAATGGTAAGTCAGACATATATATCGTAAACAATACTATTTGGAGGTTGCTCTCAAAAGAAAAAATATCGATTGATTTTGTTAAGCCGGAAAATAACATATCAAATCCGTTTGGGTTATCTAGATACAATAAACTATGCATCGAGAAAAATGGGCGTATAGCCTAATTAATGGGTCAACTTAATGGAAACCTAACCAGCGACTAGCCACTACATAGACTAGGTTTAATAGGACAACTAGTTACGATTGACTCGATGAGAAGCACTTCAGAATTATAACTCATTTTCATTTCTATGATGCAAAATAAGTGCTGCCTACAAAAGATTGGTTAGAATAAACAATGCTTTTAGTGATGACTATATCTTGTAAATAGTACAAGTGAAATATTATATGGTACTCTTTATATAATATCACATATGTGAGTGCGAATTTGGCCGGTTACATGAGAATTTTATTTAGGTAAATTCTCTAGCGCACTTGCGGGAACAAGAAGGTTCAGGGCCAAAATAATGAACACAATAGAGAACTAAAATTTGATATGAAATATAATATATTCGATCTATTGTCTAAACTTACAATAACGGTTGACGGTTCAAAAAGTTGCATTCACTTATTAGCCAAGTGAGTTTCGATAGATTCTTAATAAGGAATGTTCAAAGCGAAAGCTACCGATCTTGATGCATTATATCTCAGTTGTACTCTTCTTTGTCTTACTTCTTGTGAGTCGATTTCTTCCATTCATATGGGGTATTGTTGAAATTTTTTGGATGTTTATAGATATGAATTGGAAAAGTCTCCAATTGGTTTGATAACTAGTTGCGACTTTTCAATTGTAAAGGAAGCATATCAAAGAGTTGTGTTGTTTCAAAATGGGTGTCACCTTTTGATAAGGTGTAATTTATACAATTAAATATGAAATGGTACAATCTAGTGGTCAAAATTAATTTATGCCAAAAGATGCGACCATTCGAAGAGTGATAATCTATAAATAGGACCCTCTTAATTCCATTTTATTCACTCCAAATTAATTTTAAATAATCGAATTCTAATTCTTTGTTTCTTCAATTTCTGTTAAAATAATTTTCATATTATTTTTGAGTCAAGCGTTGGTTCACCTAAAAAAATTAATATTGTGTTCTATTAATTTTGGGAGAAGCATTGTGTTTTGGAAGATAAACCTCTATTTGATCATGTTAGTACCAGTCAGAGGACGAAATTCGTCTTAAAAAGATTTGCATTAGCATACCTAGCTTCAGTACATCTCCTTCGAACTTCTCCATTATTCTAAAGGTCAGTAGTTGTCATTTTGCATACTTTATACATGTATCTTAAATTTGGTGAGTCGGAACTCATCTAATATTTTGCATCAATATGTTATGATTTTATTATATTTGCATACACGTTTTTGATTAATTGAATATAATTCATATACCAATTTATCAAACAATTTAAAGATTGTATAACTAAAGATAAGTTTGGAAAAAAAAAATTAAAGAATCTTTACAAACATGAAACATGAGCTTAGCGCCTATTTGAGTCTCATTTTCGCTCGAAATGCATTTTGGAATAGTATTTTATTGGAAAATATGTAGTTAAAAAATAATGAAAGTTTTGATTTTTTACTTCAAATATTATTTTATTGAAAAATATGTTGTTGAAAATAAGATAGAAAAAACTGTATTTTTTAAAAGCAAAGACTACTAACGTGGTTATTTCATCTCATGATAAAATGAAATACAAAAAAGGAAGGGGCATAAATGTGACGTCCGTAAACGAAAAAAAGCAACAAATGTCTCAAAATGAAATACAAATAACAGTAAGTGAAATATGAACAAAAACTAGTGAAACTATTCAAGGGTACTCCTAAGGGTAAATCTTCTAGTGGTAGTATATAGACATCGATTTGGTCATGTGTCTGGTCTAAAATATTTTCGATTCATAGTAGTTTGCTTAGTCGGATTCTCTCACTGAAAAGGGGTCCGACCTGGAAGAAGGAGCCTGTCTAGGTAAAAAAATGCTGCTATGGCTATAGTGCACTGAATGTCGGGCGAAAAACAAGTGCATCACATCTTTGAAATCCTAAAATGACTCGAATTAAGTTTATGTTTGGCCTGCTATTTTTTCAAAAACTCATTTTCAATTACATATTATTTTATAAGAGCATGTTTATGTCCCATTTTTAGAGAAGAGTACATTTTGAAATAATAGATTGATGAAGAACGTGTAATTAAAAAATAAGTAAAAATTTTAAATTTGCGTGTAATATTATTTTAATAAAAATGTATGGTTGAAAAGAAAAGAGAGAAAAGTATATTTTGAAAAATAATGAGGATCAAACAATGGCTAAAATAATATTATATATAAATAAAAAAAATTTATTTATTTTTTAACCACACATTTTTCAATAAAACATTATAAAAAAATTCATTTTGGGCCAAAAATAGGTCTCCAACTAAGAGCTAAGTTTAACAACGTTTGAACGCGCAAACCACTGATTAAAAAAGTAGGACCCACCAATTTTGAGATATGTCTCTGTCCATTGATAATAAGCCGCGTGTCAAAAACAGTATCCATAAATTCCATTGAAGTATCTTAACTTGCCACGAAGAATTTTACATTTTCTGCTTTAGCACAGCCCACGTCGCCAGAATTTTCATGCAGTTCAAAATGGAAACTATAAGAACCGTCGATCACACGACTCTAAATCTCAGCCGATAATTTTGTTGAAAAAGGCTTGTGGATAGGGAAATTCGAGTAGTTCTTATATTTTTAAATATTTATGAAGTATCAATTCTCTTTTTAGTTGAGATTTTTCATATTTCTGATCATTTGCCACCTGAATCTTGAATCGTCAGGCGGGAAGCTTCGAGTCAACTCAGTTAACTCAGGTTGCGATCTATATCACTGCACTCGGGTACCTGATTTTTCGTATTCGATCTTTATATCTTAATCTGGTATTTTCGGGGTTGGGGCGCCGGGGGGGGGGGGGGGGGGGGGGGTTCATTTTGTAATTTGTAAGGGAAAGTGGAGGGTGGTAATGTCCTTACAATGTCCAACGGTCTATTGGATATTGATATTCTCTGTCAAGTGATTAGATAGAGAGCAGATATGGACCCCACTATTATCAAAAAGGTTGGATTGAAAACTAGTTAAAAATTAAATTAAAGAGAGATAAAGGCGGCCAACGAGGGCTAAACTAAAAACATAAAAAAAATACTCGGCTCGGGCCAATACCCTAAAATGGGGCTCGGCCCAAGCCGCTCTAAATTTTTCCGATTCGAGTCACGAGCTGTCTGAGTCGACGAGCCAAATTGACACCCCTAATTGACTATGGAAAGCATTGTGCATTGTCGATTAACCCGCCACTAAAACGCTATCATAGTTCATCCTCCTTACCTGAGACTGTGCAAGGTCAAATAGATGATCGAGACTTGTTTTTGTCACTTATGCGAAGACCATACGGGATGACATCAAGGTCATACTAGCTCTCCATAATTAAGCGAAGTGCATGGGAAGCACACAAGGCCTTAACACTTGCATGATCTCCATGCAAAATTAAGATCTATCATTCATTGGTCATCCTTACATTTTCAAGTAAAGGCCCGTTTGGTACGGCTTTTGAGAAGTTAAATAAGTTTTTAAGACTCAAAAGATACTTTGAACATGTTTGACTACTTTTATGAAATTGTTTCTTCTAATTAGACGAGGTTCTAGTTGAATTTGCTCTAATGTGATTTCTTCTAAAAGCATTTTTGAAATATAATTTTTTGTAGAAATTAATTTTTAAATAAAAATTAAGATAACTTTTTCAAAAACACTTTTATAGAAAGCAAAAGCAAAAATAAAAGTTAAGCCAAACGAATCTTACATCGTATTTGTTGAAGCGCTTGTCATGCTAATGTAGAAAATCATAATTGGAGAATATATGTATTAACCAGGCCAATTTCGTCATTTAACCCGTCACGCCCTCTTATAAAAGCCAAGTGTCAATCCCACGTAAGTCCGTGAAAACGACGTTCCCCCGCACTTTAGATTTAGATAATACTCTATGACATGCCACGCGTCTCCACGTCTTTAGGCTCCGAATCTGGTTTGATTCGGCCAAAGCCGTTGATCATTCACCTTTTGATTTTGCCCGCTTCAATCGGCCACGTCAACATCCTGTGGGGTCCAAAAAAGCTCATGCATCCAAGAAATATTTGATTTTAGAACCTTCTTTAACCTAAAATTCCCTGTTTTTCTCAACATTTCTTATCTTTAATTAAACCTTAATCTCATTCTTTTTTTTCCACCTTTTTTCCCTTGACCTTGGCATATTTTTATGCTGTAGTGAATTCCCGTGAGTGAATTCACTGTAAATCGATGATGTCTGAAGGTAATTTTGTAGAAAACCCCTTCTTTAATTTCTGTAGAAACAGCATTGTTTTTCTGTTCTTATATTTTAGTTTCGCCTTTTCTGATTATTGTTGGGATCATGGATGGTAGATGAAATAATTAATTATCTGATGGAAATGCTTAATTTTTTTAATTAATTTATTTCTAAACCAGGTGTAGTCTTCATTTTTAAAAGAGTTAATAATTTTAAGGCGGTGAGGATTGGGGTTTGAAGTATAATGTACTGGCTTATACTCTGCTCTATCGGTAGACGGGGTATGAGGAATTGATGAGTCATTGTCATTGAACATCTCTGTGCACAGGCTTGCTGTTTTTGTCTGATATTTTAAGGTGAAAGCAAAAAAAAAAAAACACATGTTAGTTTTGCTTCCGCGGCTCCTCCTCTTGTGTTATTGCTGATTATTTAACAGTTCTATCTGTGGATTAGAGTTTTTTATAAGGCAAATTTTGAATTTTTGAAAAAATAAGCTACTACTGTTTGTTATGCCCTGTTTGTTTTTATTGACAAGGGTTTATGAAAGGTTATATAGGGAATTGGACGTTGTTGTGCGTTTCTAATTGTTGGTGTCTTTGGATCTGGTTGCAGGGAGTGTTTTGATGAATATTGACTCTAACAAAGAGAGAGAGTCCCTGAACGAGGACGAAGCCATTCAAAATAAAGTTTTACATGGGGGGCAAATTTTGTTGAAGGACAATGTCTTGAAGATTGAAACAAACAATAACAACGGGAACGATGTGACCACTTTTGGGTTGCAAGGTCAAGGTGTTCTGCAAGCGCAACAGCAACTGAAGCCTCGAGGGACGGTGGTATGTTGGGAGCAATTACTTCATGTGAGATCCATTCAGGTCATGCTGGTGGAGAATGATGATTCTACACGGCATGTTGTCTCTGCTTTGCTCCGAAATTGCAATTATGAAGGTTGGTAATCTTAAATAACATGAAAGAGGTATTGAGTGTGTCAAGATCAATATTCGTCAAAAATAAAATTGGATAAATTTTTTATATTGGCAGCAAGCCAACAAAATATTAAGAACAATAACGCAAGTGCTTATTTTATTTTTTTAGTGTTTAAATTTTCTAGCGGTCAATTGCAGTGGTCGAAGCAGCTAATGGATTGCAAGCATGGAAGCTTTTAGAAGATTTAACCAACCATATCGATCTCGTACTTACAGAAGTAGTAATGCCTTGTGTATCTGGAATAGTTCTTCTTTCCAAGATCAAGAGTCACAAAACACGCAAAAACATTCCTGTTATTAGTAAGTGCTAATCTCCCCTTTCCTAGTTATATTGGAGTAGAACTATATTTTTTTTAGACATCATAATAGTTGTTGTAAAATAATATTATGTGAAATATATATTTTCATTTCTTTGGGAAAAGGTGTTACACATATATATACAAAATTTAGAAATCTATTAGGAACCAATAATTAAGCTAATTGACAACTAATTACGACCTTTAACACTCCCCCTCGAGTTGGAGTATAGATATTAATCATG